TAAATCTTCTCTCATCATGTACAGTGTACATACTGTAGGAACCTGTATGGTATGTGATTTTGTTGACATTGGATTCCAGGAGAAAAATAAAATACCAGAGGCTTCAGCTTTGAACTATATCATGTAATTGTTCACTGCTATCCCTCACCTTTCTACCAAAAACACATTTTTATCTACTGTATATTCATCTTGGATACAACAAACAGACACCTAATTCATGCTCCTACACAGAGACCCTTCAAGCAAATGGCTATACAGTACCATATCATAAATGCAGAGTCAATTGTTATATTTTATCAGAAAACATGGACAAACTAAATTTATATTTATCTTTTTAAATAATATTTTGTTAGTTGTTCAAGTTTGTGGTGATGCTATGCAATTTCCAGGAAAACAAACACAGGCTATTTAAATAATGACCAACTGAAATAATGTAACATATCCTGCATTTGTTCATCTCATTATAAACATAACAAGAGCTTCACCATATGCTACTTCATAGCATACTATTCTTTATCTATCTAATATACAGTATAGTGTGTATTACACCCCCTTAAGATTTTAAGTATTTAGACATACAGTATTTGACATTTACCTAGTCCTCACCGCAATAATAGTAGTTAAAACCAGATACATAGATAAAACTAACCTGATTTGATAAAAAAAAATTGTACTTTGTCATTATTAAAAAAACATTAGCCAGTATTCAATATATTTTTGGGAAGAAGTAGGTGTACCCTTGGATGTGCAACAAAACATGTGTAAATGATTAGCTGATCATCAGAAAATGATTTCCACCTGTTCGTAAGATCAGAATATTTGTCAGTTTGGTACTAAGCACTTACAGTAGGTTTGTGGTAACACATCATGCTCAGATCAAATGAACTCTGTGGCAGTGTTAGAGAAGGAACTGTTTCTGCTTATCAATCAAAGCCATTTCAGAACAATATGAAGTCCATCATTCCACACTAAGAAAAATATATTACAATCTACCCAGTTGTGGCCATCTTACCAAATTCTCTCCAAGAGCTTACCATATGATGCTTCTAGATGCCTCAGAGACCCCCAAGGGTATGCAGGGATGTACAGGCCTCTCTCTCTATGTTAAATGTCAGAGTTCATTAGTTCACCTTCAGGAAAAGACTGAAAAATAATGGCTTTAATGGATGGGTACCCAGGAGGTAACCCCTGCTCTCCAAGAAGAACATTGTTGCATGGCTTTAGTTTGCAAAATACCACTTGATTTAAAAACAAGACTTCTGGAAGAATATGTTCTGGACAGATGAATCAGAAGTGAAGTATTTAGCTATAATGGAATATGTCATGTTTTGTGACAGCCAAACACTGCTTTTGACCAGAAGAAGCACATACCAACCATCAAGCACAGTGATGGAAGTTGATGGTCTGGGGCTGCAATGCTGTTTCAAGACCCAGAGACCTGGCTACAGTATCATCGAGTTTACCATGCATTCCAAACTATACTTTACCAAGGTATACTAAGGAAATTGAGACACCATCTGGCTAACAGCTAAAGATGAACCAAAAGTTTATCCAAATGGTTATGATCCAAAACATAAGTAAATCTACCACAGAATGGTTGAAACAGAAGAAATTCAGGATTTTGGAATGGCCAAGTCAAAGTCCAAAACCGAACCCCAAAGAGATGCTGTGGAGGGACCTAAAAAGAGCTGTGCAAACAAGAAAAACCTCATAAATCATAGAGTTGAAGCAGTTCTATAAGGAAGAGTTGGCCATTATACCTCATTAATCCCAGAATTAATCCCAGGAGATGTGAGAGGCTGATCAACTCTTACAGGAAATGTTTAATGTAAGTTATTGTTTCACAGCACAAGGTGCACTTACTTTTTAACACAAAGATATTAAATACTGGCTGCCCTTTTAAAAAAAAACATTGACAAAATATAATTTATGTGTTATATGTCAAATCAGGCTTATTTTATCTGCTATTAGGACTTGGTGAGGAGTATGTCTAGATATGTTAAATCATAACATTCTAAGGGGGTGTACTTACTTTTCACCACACTCTATCCATGGGGTGCAGAATGTAATTTAATTCTCTGGCCAGAATTCCAAGGGATTTCCTGTTGTTTATTTGATACTTCCCTGCAGCTAACCCCCACCCTACCCACACCCCATGTTGGTGTCTTTTATCTCTATCTGTAATTCTGAAGTCATTTAGAAACTCCTTATCATATTCTTTAATATGGTAATTAGACACTGAAAATGCCTCAGTATTGCATAAATAAGGTTTACAGTCACTCTGTAGTGCACCTCAAATTAAAATAAAACATCTCCCTTTCTGGCTGGAATAACAACAATTAATATGATAATTACAGAAGGCCACGTGCATGAAAGCAAAGCCCTTTAGCTCCGCTGATCCTGTTATTATATCAGGCATAAATGTGAATTTAAATAGGCTAATTTTGTGTTAAAAAGGCACTCTTTGATTACAACATACTCAAATTAATTTTGTGGTATTTAGAGGTTTGAGGTCCAGGATAAAAGTGATTTTTTCATATCCATACAATAATACCCTGGTTGATTCATTGCATCACAATTGTATTGGACATGTACTGTACCTGTGATGTCCTGTTAGTTTATGGATTGCTCTTTGCTAAGTTCTTAGATATTTTTATTTATCACATTTTAAAGTATAACATTAATTATATTTTATTATGTTAGCAATTAACATTTGTAAACTGTGGTTTAATACATACTATATACTGTATGTATGTGTTATACAAATAATATACAAATATTTATTAGCCTTATTGTATATTTACTGTAGCTAATTTATAAGCAAAGTTTTCTGCTTTACAGTGTATTGCATTGTATACACAGCATATTAAAAGCTACTGTAGCTAAATCATTTTATTTTATTTATTGACTCTGAAATATAAAACTAATTTGTTAACAATATCTCAACTAAACTTATATTAGCTTAATTGCTTTCTTTTGTAGAAAATGCGCCATGTATTTAATTTCAACATACAGTATAAAGCTCAGAATACGCAACTGTTGCTTGTCAGCACCATGGACAGCCTCGATAAATTGTACTGCAATTACCACATTTTCTAAAATGAGATCCCATTTTTTTACATAAAATAAACATTTTAAAATAAATATTACTGCATATAATTATACAGAACATAATGTAACATTCTAATACTTTCCTGAAAAAAGAAAGCTATTAACATTGAAGCTCTTTATTTTCTAAGAAATATACCTGTTTATTCTTTACTTTGCAATACAATTAAGGCCAAATTAAAAAAAAAAACCAACATACAGTATGAGCACATACAATTTGGCAGCAATAATAAATTCCATTAATATAGTTGTTTTTCTCAGATGGAACATCAATTGTTGTCATCTTTTCTTTGCAGCCGGCTAAATTCCAATAAAACCAACACATTTAATTAAATAAAACACCCAAACAATAAAAATAATCTTAGTTACTTATCTACTTAGTTTCAGTAGCAGTTTCATAGTAATAAACATTGAATATCTTTCTTGCAAATAATTCAATGCCATATTTAGCACATCAATGATATTGATTTTGCATTCACACATATCAATAACATAATATGTATATGAGTTACCACAAGAACCTGTATTTAAGAAACACAAAAACATGAAAAAAATAATTAGACATTCCCTGAAGTTCATGGGGGCCTTTCTATGATAAGGCATGATTGCTTGTACAGAACATGGGAAGTCTCTGAACACAGAACGTCATGTCCCAGACACAGAGTTCACGTGACTTCAGAGTTGGGCAATAGAGTACTGGAAAAATAAGGAGGCTCTTCTTGAACTACTGGATTTTCCCTCCTTGGGTGCTAGCATGATGATTACCCCATTCATGTTAAGCCAAGGCAACTGTTCTTTGACATTCTGTACATTCAAAAACCAGAAAAAGAAACTGGGGATATGAGTTCAGAAAATTAATAACACCAACAATCAGATGAAATGTCCCAAAACTTATGTGAATGTCAACACTTATCAGCAAAGCTTATTTCCATATTGGGCTTATGGCTTACAGATAAAGAAAGTCCTTCTCCACATCACACAAAGCTAGTCTTTTGTTTATGATATTTTACAGCAGAGACAGCTTGAGTTTTGTAACTAACCATTTTTTTCTAATTATTCCAGGGTTTCACTATTTTACCAACTCTCAAACACATGAATATTCATTGATCAGTGTTCAAGTTAGTTCAGAAAAAGGCTGGGCTGTTTGCTAAGATGTGGGGAAAGATACGGGACATGGAAGGTCACAGCAGGATGACTGTACACTGTTAGTGTGCCAAACATCAATGTCTCTACCAACGACCCCTTCCTTTGTCATTTGCCATTGAAAATCAAACAATATTTTCACATACTGTGGTACAACTATCTGCATTGTTAATGCAATGCAGAAATGGAAAGAATTAAGGCACCACAAATTGGTAATGGCCTTCCCAGTCATTGGCCAGAAACTCATTTGAGAACATAATAGCTGTTCTCCAGTGGTCTCTACTAAAGCATTCCTGTAAAGTCAATTATAAGACTTCCTGAAGCAGGCTCTTGTGTCGGGAATGGGCAGCCATCCCACAGACTGAGAACGCCAATGTCGCTTACACAATGTGAGACTATATTGCTGTCTTTACTTAGTACAGTACGTGGTTCCACAATAAACATGTTCTTTCAAACTTCTTGAATTTATGATGCCAAGTTTAGCAATGTCTTATTTCTACTCTTATGCATTTACTGAAGTAAACAGTTCGTAGAAGATGTTACTAAAACACCAGGACAAAGTCACTAAAACAGTTTACATCCTAATATATCTGATTAGTGCCCTTAATTTAGAACCCATCTCTCCTCACAAATCACTTCAATGTACTAATTAAGTAAAACGCAAAAATAATTTACTGGACCTTGCTTTTAAATGGACACACACAAAATGAATAATATATATCGTATGTAGAGAGAATGTAGAAACTTACCATATTGACTTCTGACACCATGTCTATACTCGCAACGTCTATGCTCATTCCCACGGCAACCGGGGGACCTGAACAAATAGAAAAATATGTGCGTAAAATAAGCGTATGGATATATAAAAATACGAAAATATCTGAACAAGACATTTTCAAAACGTAATTAATACACTTTTTCAAAGAAGAACTGACGCACCTCCAAAGTCTGGTCGAAGGCGAATGTCATATCCTTTTAACAGTTTGTCCACAGTCTCTTTCACGAAAGACATGTTCCCTGGCTCGTTGGCGCTAGAAAGAAATAATAAAAGGTAAAATCCAGTTTTTCAAACGAGACGACTGTCCAGTTTTCACGCTTTATTGTACCCTCTATACTTACCTCTGTGCACAGCACATAACTGCTACTATCACGGGTGCTGAAAGAACACCAAATAGTCTCCTTTTCTGTAATCCCCACATTCCTCAGGATCGTTTATGTCAAGGAGTTTATCAACAAGACGTTAAAACGTTAGGTGTCAGTACAGTGTTGAGGCTGACCGGATAAGTAAAGATAAATGTATTCCCTTAGCAGGTGTTTGATAAAGAAGTCGTTGCTGGTCCATGCGATGTCTTATGTCAGTAAATATCTGTCACAATCCGTTTTTCCACGTACTCCCTCTTGGATGCTAAAGCGGTAATTAAAAAGAGCACTCGGGAAGGCAGATGCATGTTGCCTGAAACATTGCCGGCAATGGCAGAAATATATTTTTGTGGTTCGGTCTCAGCCAGACCATGGTTCCATCTCCCCTTGAGTTTTGTCTTCTGCTGCTCAGCTACCCAGCATAAATCCCGCTCCTTTTAAAAATCCTTTTTAGAAAACCACATACGTCGGTCCCAACAAGATTATGCAAACGCACTAAACATCATCTACTTGTAACACCTCCGATTTTGTGCAATTCCATGCCGCTACAGAATTTATGTCGACATTCGCGGTGTAGGTTTTTTCACTGTTGCGCTGGACAGTCATTGAATCGGGGCGATTCTAACCACGTTGCCTTGAGTTTGTGGAAATTGACATGCCAAGCATAAATGATTCACTATAAAGCAAAGTGCCCACGTGATACGCCAGTCTGAAAGCTACTCGAAGTGAGGTTGTGCTCATTGGCAGAGCTAGGACCTCATAAAGGCTCAACAGGGCTAGCAACAGTTCTGTTAAGGTGAGCCCATGCCTTACTGGGTGAAAAACGATTAAAGAAAGGGCTTTGTACACAGACTACGGATTGACAGGTTGACAGTTGCCGGTTTTAATTATTCTTAACTGAGGGCATACAGGTATGTACAGTAATACAGTATGTGACAGTGCTTTTTCAACATACTGTAAAACACGTTATTGAGCTTTATAAGATGATTATATTATATGTCAGTTGTGAATAAATTCGCGTCTGCGGTAAAAAGACTGGTTATAAGATAGTCATCATAAAATGGTTCGTGATTTACAGGAACTCCTTGAAAAGCTCTGCATTCACAGCGTCTGTGAGACGTGCTGTAATTACTCATTTCAGATGCATGTAGACAAGGCAAAGTGAAACTGTTGCTGACCGGGAAGCGTCAGGTTGCATGTAAACAGAGATTTTACGAGATGTGCTTTTATTCAATTTAACAATCACTCAGATAGGTATCGAAGTTTCTCACTGAAAGAGTTCGACAAAAAAAAGCACTTACAGTACTGATCAACAACAAAACTGTGAACTCTAGCACACAGGCTTCAAAATTGTCGATGAGACGTTGCTTCTGTAATCTTGAGCAAGACACTTCCCCAAATAACTTCATTAAATTACTCTACTTTGTCGATCTCAACTCTCCAGCCGGAAATTAAAATTTGCTTTCAATTGATTTATATAGTTAGCTGAAGGGTTAAATTAAATATGTTGTACTGTATATATCCACCCTTCAAAATGATTGTATGAATTCAGAATATCAGCAGCACATAAGCAGCAACATGATGGTCAGGCTATTATACTGTACTTCTTAACATTTGTGTGTGCAAGTCATGTTTGGTGGGAAAAAAAAACAAAGAACATTGAGTGTTTAAATACAGTAAATTGAAATTGGCCACATAATTTGTACTGTAGTGTTTATAATGACTTTTGAATAAAACACAATCTTAGGATCCAGCAATCTTTTTAAGGGATTCATCATAGAAATTAACTGACAGTAAATAAAATGAAAAAATAAAACCCTAGGGAATACTGTAGGTCACACATCTAATTCTGGGGAGGTGCAAAGAACCAATATTTCCAACGTGAAAACACCACAGGCCATTTCTTCTAAAGAGATGAAAGTGTACTGGGAATTTCTCTGTTGTGGCAAATTGTCCCTCTAAGAGATGTGATAAGATTGTGAGAGATGAAATCTATATGTCTCTTTCTTGTTGAAGTCCTCCTGCGAGCCACAGCAAACTCCGTGAATGGCACAGGCTTAAAACTTGGAGACAAAGGTGTACGCTTAAGAGACTGTGCATTTTGGAGTGCACCCCCAGAGTTTTTTTTTTCACAAAACAAGATACTTCAATGATTTGTTTTCTTCTCATTGCAGGAGAAACGATTCAGCATTGCTGTACATTGTGATACAAACCCAAAGACAAGCATGTGTACAAAGATGCACTCAACCCCATTTCTATACTTCCCACATTCCAACCTAACGCGTTCTGAAGAAGAACTAATAATATTCATTAACTTACATTAATAACTTTATAATAACATAGACATTTTCAGTTTATAATTTAGTATTTAATAAACAGTTTTACAAATACTGTAATTAAAACTGTATATAATGTTAACGTGTTTTAGGATTAGGATATTTTAGGATATATTTTATGCTATAATGTTAATATACTTGAAACCTACAAGCTATGTTTGTACTATGAGATGCAAAAAACATAGAGTACAGTGAAGGAACTTCGATAGTTTGGCTTGAAATCAATAAGATAAATGGAAGTTATTAACTGATGTTTGGGAAGGATAACAACTACACGTCAATCACACACAGCTGTACCTGTGATCAGTATGAAAATAGCTACAGTATACAGTAATGCATATTGAATTCCTTCGCATTCATATCAAGCATGTCTCCTCCACTCCACTGGAGGCTGTCCACTGCTAAAGATATACAGTAGTGATTATTATATGGGGATTAACTAACTACAGTATATCCTAGGCTCAGGTTACCCAGTTTTGCAATCTGATTACCTCTTACGTTTAAGAAATGCTGTAGTATCACCTCAGTGTTATGGCAATTCAGTGCTCTCAGAACTGATTGGACCTCTTCTTTGAGAATGAGTAATAGTGATTACTACTGTATGTACAGTAACATACTCCATTTCTTCATTATATTTTCCAATGGTTTAATAGTGTGAAGGATGAAAACATAATGAATTCCCCTTTCAGTTTTTTTCAGTGGTAAGGGTATATTTTTTCAATAGAAATTTCTCTTATACTTCTCATTCTAGTTTAATACAGCAAAACTGTCAGTTTGTTTATTTCTGGAAATCCTTCTTGGGGAGGCAGTAGCAGGACAAAGGAACGGTAGTCAGTCAGACCGCTTCTCTTGTTGTACTATATATATACTGTATATATCCACCATAATATATACATCTTCTGACACTATGAAAAGGGTGTGAGGTCCACAGCTTCTAAAATAGAATTACCTTTATGAATTTGAGTTTTAACAGATCAAAGGAGAAAAAAAGTCCTTCACCCCCATTATCATCGATAGATGTCTTGTCAGATAGTATCAGAATCGACAGTACAGAGACGGTGCATTGAAAGATTATTAAGACGGTTGCACTGTTATTATTTTAAAGCACTCATGACACTTATTGATCAATACTTGCTAAATACACAACCTACAGTACTCTACATATCCGATGCATAAAGCCAAAATAAATATGTATTGTAAACACATAATACACGTGAAAGCAAAAGGGAAAGGTTTGATTCTTTACAAATTTAAACTTGTTGCTGGAGCAAACCTAAATTTATTTAGATGCTCAAAATTACCTTAATGAGCCACATAATCCGTTTTATTGGCCCCTGCCTGTGTGTATTTAGAGGGGCTCTTATGAATTCAGAATAAAAACAATGGCCTCTTTGATGTTCCTTGATCAGGTAGTGAAGTTGGGAAGCAAAGACTCAATCATAAAGACTAAGGAGCTTTCATAGCAAGTCAGAGATAAGGACATTGAAAGCACAGGAAACAGGTAAGGACATTTTCTGGAAAGTCTCTGAACAGTCTGCTCAACTTTCAAAAAGTAGAAGATGCATCATCCCATCCAGACACTGCCTAGATCAGGCTGTCCCTCTAAACTGAACAGTCAGACAAGAGGGAAACAGGTTAGGTATGCCATCATGAGGCAAATGGAAACTTTGAAAGAGCTAGAGAGTTCAATGGCTATGAAGGGAGAATATGATCATGAGCCAATATTCTGGTTATTCCACAAAACTGGTCTGTAAGGTAGAGTGGAAAAACATTTCATATCCTGTATGAAATTTGCAACAAAGCACCTGAGTGATCCTGCAAAAATGTGGTGAAACATAATGTGATCAAATAAGCAGGACAATGATGCATATTGGAGGCTAAAGGTACATTGGAAGGGCTTATGAATAAGTAAGATGTCTTTTAGTGGCTACATCAATGTCCTGACTTGACTCCTCAGATTGAGACCTGTAAACTTTTGTCCATAACCAATATCAAAGCATCTTCAGAGAGCTTGAGTAATTCTGACTAGTAGAATAAACACAAATTACATGGCCAAGTCAATACAGACTTAACCAAAATAACATGGGGCTTTAATTGCTGCCAAAGGTGTTTCCATAACACGTTGAACTCACAGCTCTGAATACTTAAGTAATTAACACATTTTTGTTTTTTTTCTATTAGATTTGTATTTATATTGTTTATTTTTAAGTGACATTTACTCTACCTCATCTTACCCATGAACGTCTTCAATCTAAGCATTTTAGTTTGCATACAACAAAAGTGTTTAAAATGTCTATACTGTACATCATTTTGTAATTTCACTTTAGGAAGCAAAATGGACACCATAAGAAGGGACTGAATACGTTTGCAAGGCACTTTGTATCTTGGATATTCCAATAGAGCAGAGACCCTCAGGCTGGATCTTGGACAGTGTTTACTAATGATTTGTTTGAATTGTATGCTTAAGTAAGGAAACCTTTAATCAGTCTCTGATCTTAATCGGCCTTTTTTGCAATTGTTCTCAGCTATAAAGCAGTTGGAAGTTGAAGTTGAAGTTGACTACACAGTAACATAACATTTGACAATTTCAAATAAGAAGATTAGCCAGATTATTAATTTAAAACCTCTACAGTAATTCCACAGTGGATTGGACACTGCCAGGACTCAACCAGGACAAGGCTGTAAATTAAACCTTTACATCAGCATAAAATATGTATTTTGGAATTGGTAAAAAAGTATTTCATGTGTAAGTGACCTCCCATATACTCTAATTCCAGTGGCCACATTTGTTTTTACAGAAGTGAAACTAGTATTTAAAAAACTAACATATTATGAGAAAGCACTGACCACAATACCGCAAGAAAATATACAGCCCTATACCAGTCTCTTTCATCAGGTTTCAGCAGCCAAAGCAAAGCACAGCACTATAAATCATTAGAAACAAGACAATCTCTGTGTATTCAAATCCCAATCTGGCAAAGAAAGGCCATTTTCCTGATAGTACAGTATGAATCAAATACCACATGGATTCTGCATGTTTGCAATTTGTTTTTTTGTTTGTTTTTGTTTACTATTGTCTGGAGTTTATGCATACTGTACCTCAATAACGTAAAGACTTTTCTGGCAATCACAGAAACTAAAGTATTTGTAAATTTGAAAACTTCTCTTCCTTGAATGTGTTTCAGAGCAGAAGATTTTATTGTCTTTTAGGATAGTGGCAACCAAACGCCATGCTTTAATTTTAATATAAACTACATATTTTAAGAGGGCAGCAGGTTTAGACTAGATAGAGATATTTGTCAGACCCACATTCCCCAGAATGCTGTAGGAATGAGCTGGTGCTTTCAGTCACC